GGTCTACATACCGAGCCTAAACTCGGGTGACAATCGGTGCGCCATGGGCAGAGTGTTGCGTGGGTCCACGGCGGAGAGACCTTGCAAGATCCCGGAAGAGCGCAGTCCGGTTCACAAGTCGACCAAAGTGGTGAAAACGTTGACCCAGACCGCCTCGAAACAGACGTCGCCGGCTCACACGGCTACTCCGAAGGCTAGTCCAGCCAGGAAGAGCTTGGCGACCAAGGTGTCGTCTTCCAAGGTGAATGATTCGCCAGGGAGCAAGATTCCGGTCGCGGCACCCAGCGGAGGCTCGGACGAACAGTGGATAGACGGTCCCAGAATCTCCAAGTCCAAGCTCGCGGAATTTAGGCTCATGGTGAAGGACTCTCACCACCCGAGAGAGACATGGATCGACGGGCCAATGCAGCTGACCGGTCCGCCTACCTTGCAGCTCCACACTCAGCAACATTCCTCCAGTTACGGGTTTATGGACAGCCACAAGAAGAGCATGATTAGAAAGTGGGTCGAGAACCAATCGTCTCAGATACAGAGAAGCAAACACGCCGCTGCTAGGAACGAAAGCAGCAAGATATCTGGACAGTCGTCGCAATTCAAGGAGCTGACCACCTTCAAGACCTGCGCCGGTATCGACGACGACGACACCTCGTTATCCACCGCGGAGAGCGATAGCTTGAAGGCGAACGAGATCGAGGACATCACCGAGAAACTGGGCGCCAAGTTGAACCTTCTGAACGTCAAGTCCAACACGGACTCCGGGTTGGATCTGACCGCCAGTCCGGTTATGGACGACAGCGTGGACAAAGGCAAGTTGGACATTCAGGAGGACGAGGACGACGACGAGGAGATCGTCGTACCACCACCGCTACCTCTTATAGAACCCCTGAGCAACGGGGTCAGCAGGGAGGTCTCGATGGAGAGCCTGAACCTGTCGCACAAGGACATCGTGCTACCTTCCAGACATTCGTTGTCTTCCGAGGACGAGATCCTGGAAATCGTGGAGGTGGAGGACCTGGAACCCGTCCCGATGCAGGACTCCTGCCTCCAGGTGACGGAGGAGGACATCGCCATGTGCATGGGAGAGAATCCTCTGCCCGAGAGCGACCAGGAGGAACATCCACTGAGAATCCTTAGCCAGGAGAATCTGACTGTCGTGTCGACCTTTACGGGTAAGTTGACAATAAGTAACAAATCTATTTTTCCATCTTCCCTTCACAATCGTACTTCACAAGATGCTTTCAAATATTCCTCTCCGTCGATCGATTCTTAGATCCTCGATCATTATCTCGCTCATACTTGATCCGGCATTGTTGGAAGAAGAATGACGCAGAGATTATAAGCAGACGAGAGGAAAGTGGAAAAACGGCTCGATATAATTACTCGTCGATATTCTCGATTTCGAACGCGCGTCTTCGTTTTCTTCCTCCTTATCCACTTCCTTCGTTCTTATCGAAGAACGGGCGATATCCAGAAACAGCAAGATAAAGTACATAATATCGATTTTCAGACTCGATGTCGGTGATGTCGGATACGGAACGATACAGACCTCAGTACCCACCACCGGTTGGAGCGGGTGTTTTGCCAAGGCCATACTTCGACCACGAGGATTTCCTGGAACAGGAAACCAGGTACAAGTTCGACCAGTTGGCTCGGCTCCATGAGCTCTATCAGAGCAAGCTCGCGCTGGCCAATGTCTCCAATTCCGTAACCTACCAGAGGGAGAACTCCTCGAACGTGAACGTTAGAGACACTCCATGTAAGTTTCCATTCCACGAGAACCCACTTTGCTCGATCTTTTGAACTCTCTTTCTTCTGTTATTCTTTCTTTTACGTTCAGCACTTTGGTGGCCACTGTCGAATTTGTGACTTCACTGCGGACTTTTTCAACGTGTCTATTAAGCTCTCGTCTTTAATCTTTAAGCTCCTACATACCCTGCATCGTATATTTTTATGAATAACCATATACGAATGCAGCGAGTATATCAATTAAATTTTGGAAAACGACAGACACCATCCAAGTGTTAATTATTAAAGTCAACAACAATCGCTACAGTCAACTAACGAGTTCTCGCATTTAATTTGCACCCTCAATCAAGTATGAAATTAACGCAGGACAAATTCCAGCCGCCCCCGTCTTCCGTCCACCGTCGCGCTGTCAGTCCTTGTCCCTCTCGGACGTGATGTTCAACGACAACGCGAGCAATCACGGCAGCATCTACAGCGAGCCAGCGTACATCGCCGGCAAGTCCGACCAGGAGAAGATCTGCGACAATTGTCGTCAAAGTATGACGAGACCGGCCACCGCCTCGTATTGGTACCCGAACAGCGTGGCGCACATAGCCAGCCCCAGAAGATACTGCGGCAAACTGGGCGAATGTAACATCTCTAGTCTGAGGCATCCTGACGGTGCCTCGAATCCGAATCTCAAGGAAGAGGTGGAGAGGCTACCGGGGAACGGAGCTTCCGGTTCTGATCCCGAAGAGGAGTACGTCGAGGCGAAGAAATTATTCACGGCTGTCGAGAGGTCCGAGAGGACGGTCACTGGCAAGTCGGACATCGAGGAAGATCTCAAGGTTCAAGGTACTCGATGTGGATCCTTCGTATTGACTGTCGTTTTAGTCTAAGAAGTTAAGATGGTTGAGGATCTTAGGGGTTTTTCACCACTAAATAATTTTTGAAACTTTCTTGAAGAGTTCAAGTTTGATCGGTGTATATTAAATTTAGAATTAAGTTCATGATATCTCTTCACTGAACGAAACGAATTTGTTACAGCATCAGCACCGTTACAGTTGTCCATTCCATCACCGGCCCCGTCTTCGGGTCGATTGCAACGCAAAATCACCAGCGTCGGCTCCTCGTTAGGTTTGAACAAAGAAGGCTACGACTCCGGTGCCGATTCCACGCCACGTGCAGCAAAACTTTCGCCGGCCACGTTGTCCAGGCATCGAGCCGAAAGTTCTGGCTACGACAGCATCGTTAGAGACAGCGAAACCAGCAGCATCGCTAGCGACTCGTCCAGGCATACCGGAGCTCTTCAAGAACATCAAGGTAATTGCTTTTGCCTGTTTCCGAATCATTCACCAAAGTATTTCCGCAGTGTTGATTCTTGTACAGATGTAATTACGTGTTCGATACTGTAGGAATAGAATTTTTAGAACTATCCTTTTATTTAAGAGCACACAATAAACTCACAATAAGAACACAAAAACACAATAACGTATTGAACTTATAAACGTAGTAAAATCGTAAAACGTACAATCTTATAATTCGTTCGTCTAGAACGTCTAGACCAACTTCCGTTTCTAAGCTGAACTAACAACAACACTTTTTCAAAACGCTAGCAACCACTTCCGCTTAGCATTTCACACTGTTCCTTTCATAAATCGTCATTCACACTTGCAGTCATACATACAATTTCACGGCGATTATTAAACTATACAAACATTCTACAACTAATCAAACATAAAATACAATACACTCCTACAATACTATGTATACAGAGTAGTAATTGCATTCGAGCGTGATTTTTCTCGAAATACACGAATCCTCTTCTACGAATTTCCGTGCCGAACATTTGCATATATTTAAATGTCAGTCTTCCGAAAACTTTCGTGAGCCCGAAGGGAACGTAGAATCGAAATGCGTGATGATTTAATTAATTTGAATGTTCTTTGAACGTCTCGAACTTGTCAGTAACTTTGATCCACCATGCATGCTGATGCTTCGAAGTTACTTTGAAGAGTAAACTTGCACAGAACGTAATTCGCCTCACACTCGTCAGAAAAGAAGAATCTGTCGATGCTCAGAGGTGGCACCACTTGTTGCAGGCGTTTAGAAACCCGAGCGACAGATTCTTTTCGTGCCGGTAGATTAGTGCATGTCTAAGGACGCGTTCGCACCAGACAAGAAAGGCAAATAGCCGCTTAAGTGGTCAGACGAGTAGTCAGACAAGTAGGTAGCTCCACGGAAGCGAGAAAGAGGACATCTTCCTCGTTTTTAGGCTCTGAAACGCGCCGAGTTAATTACTTTTCTGACTACTTTCTTGCCTAGCGCAAATGTGTTTTAGAGTACTTCAGATTACAGCAGCGAGGCAAATAGAAACGAACAAGAGACTTCTTTGCAAGTACGTTTAGTGAAAATGCACTCTTAACGACACGTAGTTTAGGAATTGTTGCAAGCGAGTTTGGTAGAGAAATCCTCCCCATGAAACGATATGGCAACCCTCTAAAATGGTCCCTCCGTACGGTGGTTCTCCTCAGGTGGCGCGCTGGGGGTTCTAACCTCGACGTTGTGCGGGTGTTTCAGCGGTGGAACAGCGAGTGGCAGAGTGCGGGCATCCGTCGCGGGCCCAATGCCAGGCCCATCTGCCACGGATGCCGTCCGCGGCGTTGCCGGGGATACTCGCGTACACAAGCGAGGACGTGGACATCCTGGACAGGCGCGCGCAGTTGCGCTCGGATCCACGTGGCACGATGTCCAGGATACACAACCTGCGACTACGGCAGCGCCTTCTTAGGCTCGAGCTTCGCGACGCTAAAAGGCGCCTGATGGTGCCCGACACACGCTGGAGCTACGATCGTGAGTTACAACCCTGTTGCACAGCTTGTCTTCCAAATTAAGGACACTCTATAAGGACTCCTTGGTTATCAATCGTTTAAGTCATGCAACGTGAAATAAATCATTAATATAATTAATTTTATTAACGCAACCTAAACTATTATTTTTACATTGTTATCCTAAGTGAGACAAAATGTGTTCAGAATCGAAAATCGTGTGGTAAATAAGTTAGTTTAAAATGGCACTAGTTTAAGGAATGTTACTAGAGATAACGTGATACATAACGGGTATAATGGACCAAGCAGAGATAAGCGAGGAAGCATCTGCAAAAGTTGTTACCGAAACTTTTTATTCGGAATTGTACTTGGTATCAGATAGGAGTGTCCTTAAATTGCGGAGGACTGCAAATAAGATACGCGATCGCTGACTAAACTTTCGTAATTGCAGTTCACGTAGAGAACAGCATGGACTGGCGAGATCCGTCGTTTCTGGAGGCCCTCGAGGCAGAAACGTGTATCCTGCAGAAGCGAGTGGAGGCCTGCAAGAGTCACGTCCTGTTGATCACCTGCTTCGACTCTTATCCTCGGCAACATTGCACGCGCCAGGCCGAATCGCCGACCGGGGTACGGATCACCTAACCTAGACTCGGATCAGTGCGCTGGACCGCGTGCTGATCGCGAGAGGATCGCCAGGAAACGATTAGAAATGAAACGAGACGAGCGAAGTCGCTGATGAAGAAGGAAATGGGAATCGTTGTCACGATGTCGCTCGACTCCGTCCAATAGTTGTTAAATGACGTTTAATCGTGTCGTGATCGTCGTCGTACGTCGTCGCTATTATTACGCGCGTGTAATGGATCATAGAACACGAATAAAAGATTTCATCCCTTCCGTTTCGCGTCGACGAGCCGAGGACAGATTTTCTTGCGACGCGATGCGGTTCGACGTTGTCGGATACTTGTTGACTTCGTATTATTTTGCGCTGTGATGGACAAGGCAGGCGATGGGCAGACACTGTCATTCGATTTTTTGCTCTATATACACATTCCTAAATTTCTAGATCTCTCTATACTCAGATATCGATGTCCCTGATCTCTACGTTCCTAGGTACCGATGTTTCGATTCCTACTTTTCTAGATACCCTTCCATTCCCACGTTCCTAAATACCGGTATCTCCTGATCTTTACGTTCCTAGATCCCTCTATACGCAGATCCACGTATGCTAAGGTCCCCATATTTTTTATAGCTTCAGGTCCACCGCAAAATTCCACTATGTCTTAATTCCTATACTCCTACATTTATATTCCCTTGAACTTCTACATCTTCAGATTCCTATATCTCCAACATGATTTCACTAGCTGAAAATAAGTTCGTCACAACACAATTCAATTTGCAATCCATCGAATGACCCACCGCTTGTGCTCAGAACGTCGCTTGCATTTGTCTATTACTGATTTAGCGTACGTATGGTGCTGCATCTTTTTTACCAATCGAGCGTCAGGATCGCTTTAGATAAATCGAGTTCCGATTGGAACAGGCGAGGCACGACTTTTGGTACTAAACGCTGCTCCATTGATTACCAATGGAACTAGAACTACGTAAATCGGTATCGTAAAGAAATTTTTAACGGGTCGATCGAGGATAGAGCATCGATTGCGAACGAAGAAATAAGAGGAAGCGTGTACTTTTGAAATTAGAGGATTGATCTTTCGATTCGACGCTGAATCTTCGATCGACGATTTAGGGACGAAATTTAATACGCATAGATTCCTTTGGACATTGTCGAATTTAAACGGCACTTAGCCACGAGGTGAGAATGATTTCGCACGTATGGAAATTGTGACGCGAGGCAAACGAGAGAGGGAAAAAGCGACGATGATACGCGTCGTAACCATTGTATTTAATGCACGCACGTTCATTCAAGATATTATCGTAGCTTTAATCGTTATCAACAGTTACCGCACTTCGTAGGGCTCTGTAATTCCACTTAGAAGATGACGAGAACCTGAATGGGTGAATGCGAGGCTGCGAGAAAGAGAGAGAGAGAGCGAATGAGAGAAAGAGACGATAACGAGCGTGAAAATGAGAAACGAGATGCCGCGAGAGTTACCTTTCGACAGTAAACGTATTCGTAATCGTAACGGTTGCTCGGTTAGCGAGTGCTGTCTGAAAAATGAAAATGGGAAACGCGAGAATTATTGCGTTATGAGGTTGCGAAAGGGGCAGAGAGAACAATTTATCGAAAGGAATCCACGTATCGGTGAGAGACGTGGGTGTACAGAATGTGGCAGGGGAAAGGTGCCAGGGAGAATGAAAATAGACGGGATGAAAATAAATCGAGAATGGCGGTAATACGCGGCAGAAACAAAAGAGATTCCAGTCTTTTGATACGATTCGTGGCCGATTCGGTCGAGCTACGGTGTCGATAAAAATCATTTCTCTGTTCCCGCTGCTGCGAATGACAGCTCTCGTTCTTACGATCCTATTTTTTTTCTTTCATCCAGCTCGAGGCTTCCGGATATAAAGCATATTTTTATCAACATTTAATGTTAAGTTCAAGGGTCTGAAGATAAATTCAGACCCGAAGATCAAAGTTGTAGACATTGTTTAAAAATTGAGGAGATTCAATCGAAATGTTATTTGAGTTGAACCTAATTCGAGAGCGATCTGGAGTGTGCACGCGTTAAGAAGACACATGAGCTCACATCCGAAAGCCTCGTTCTCGCGATCTCTTCGTGTTCAGACATAGTCTCGATCCATGGAAGTCACACTGCCAGTCCAAGAGCTCATCCCTTTTTGTACAGAGTTCAAGGACCACCGAACAGCTTGGTTCCACAGACATGTTCAAATCGTCACACGTTTCGTACTCGATTGCTCTACCTCGAGAATTTTCCTAAAACTAGCCAAGCGCACAAAGAGCAATCGCGTGCACGAATCAGCCTTACCTACCCGGATTCGAAGATGTCTGTGGACGATCGGCAGTCTGATTCAGACTGATCATTTTATAAGCGGAAGAAGACTGCTAGCTGTTAGGCCACGCTTACCGAGCAACGTGGAATCGTCGATCACCGGAAGTTCGCGAAGCTACCGGGACGAACGACCGTAATCCAAGTTCCCTGTATCGTTGTCCGTTGTTAAAGGAACCCGTTACGCTATTCGTCCGTGTTTTTAGACCGTTCTCGTACCACTGCCGAACACGTTGTTCATCGTCTCTCCTTTTCTTACCATCATAGATAGTCCCGCAACGACGGCTTCCAGAACGAGGTTCGATATATCGTTCCAATTCACTGTCACGATTCCCTGTTACTTTGCCACGATCCGGTTCTTCCTTTTCGTTTTCCTGTTCGAGAAGAGAGACACGTCGCCGAGAGCGCGTCACTCCGTCTACCGTGAATAGTAACGAATTAATAGCAACCGCCATAGCAATTAACGATTAAGAGTTAACCGACCTCCGCATCATTCCGCGAAACAGAGAGTAAGACACATCGCGCACGCACATACTACACGCACATACAACCAAGGAACACACACACCGGAGGTATCGCACCACGCGTCTACTGTGTACCATAGTACTTGTACCATATTTATATTTTATATGTACAAATTAGTCATGTAATTTCTTGTAATAAAGATCAATTTACAACGTGCAACGAAACGAGCGTCGGAACGGTTTTCTTACTCTCCCCTTAGGAATTTCAACCCGCCGGCAAAAAGGAGACGAGAGAATTGGATGCATCGCGGGAATTCCTCAGACAATTTATTGGGGCGCGTTTTTAGGTCGCGGCGAGTCTAAAGCCCGACTCTGTCCCGCCGAGTTTCGATGCAAACTTTACTGCTACTTGGAACAATTTTACTCGCTTTTCTTTTATTTCACTGGTGATATGGGACTCTAAAAATATATGAACGCAAAGAAATTCGTGATACATGAATCATTGTAGAAATTTAACCCTCTGCGAGGCTGCCTCTCAGGCGCCATTTAATACAATAATTTGAAGGAAGCATTATTTAATTAATTCTATAATAGTGTTCATGTATAAACATAGTGAAATAGTAGTGGAAATTATTAGCAGAGAAATAATAACCGACGAACGACCGTAATCCAAGTTCCCTGTATCGTTGTCCGTTGTTAAAGGAACCCGTTACGCTATTCGTCCGTGTTTTTAGACCGTTCTCGTACCACTGCCGAACACGTTGTTCATCGTCTCTCCTTTTCTTACCATCATAGATAGTCCCGCAACGACGGCTTCCAGAACGAGGTTCGATATATCGTTCCAATTCACTGTCACGATTCCCTGTTACTTTGCCACGATCCGGTTCTTCCTTTTCGTTTTCCTGTTCGAGAAGAGAGACACGTCGCCGAGAGCGCGTCACTCCGTCTACCGTGAATAGTAACGAATTAATAGCAACCGCCATAGCAATTAACGATTAAGAGTTAACCGACCTCCGCATCATTCCGCGAAACAGAGAGTAAGACACATCGCGCACGCACATACTACACGCACATACAACCAAGGAACACACACACCGGAGGTATCGCACCACGCGTCTACTGTGTACCATAGTACTTGTACCATATTTATATTTTATATGTACAAATTAGTCATGTAATTTCTTGTAATAAAGATCAATTTACAACGTGCAACGAAACGAGCGTCGGAACGGTTTTCTTACTCTCCCCTTAGGAATTTCAACCCGCCGGCAAAAAGGAGACGAGAGAATTGGATGCATCGCGGGAATTCCTCAGACAATTTATTGGGGCGCGTTTTTAGGTCGCGGCGAGTCTAAAGCCCGACTCTGTCCCGCCGAGTTTCGATGCAAACTTTACTGCTACTTGGAACAATTTTACTCGCTTTTCTTTTATTTCACTGGTGATATGGGACTCTAAAAATATATGAACGCAAAGAAATTCGTGATACATGAATCATTGTAGAAATTTAACCCTCTGCGAGGCTGCCTCTCAGGCGCCATTTAATACAATAATTTGAAGGAAGCATTATTTAATTAATTCTATAATAGTGTTCATGTATAAACATAGTGAAATAGTAGTGGAAATTATTAGCAGAGAAATAATAACCTCAAAAGAAGTCATTCAACATTTTAATTAATATTTTAAAGTTGCTGTTTGCAAACAATTATCTTCGACTGCAAACTCAAGTTCAGAATAAAACTCAAGTTCAAAATATAAAACTAGCAATATCAAGCGATCCCCGAGTCCATGACTAAACATTAAATTTAAACGTTTCGTGCATCGTATCACACAACGGAAGAGTGAGATTGAATATACAGATTAATCAGGGGATTAAGATCGACTAGACCAATAGCGTGAATCCTTAAAGCGGTTCGATGTGGGCACCGGATGCAAATTGCACCGACCTTGAATCCCATTTGCACCGGCTACCAATAAATCGCGATTAGTGTCGCAATGAAATGCTTAAAAACGTGCGCGTGAAAATTGCCGCTCGTCCGAGTGTCCGGGTCCTTGACAATAGAACGGATCGAAGGTGCAATTGATTCGATTATGCGACCACTTACAACAGATAACAGATAACTCATGGAATAAAAATAGATGCATCGTCCGCCTCGGGTTGCACAATTATATTCGTAGAAAAGTTAAAAATGTGTATAAGTTCATTTTTATGGAGTATGATCAAATGTTATCGCCAGCGGAGTGACATTTCGATGTTGTCGGTTTATTTATTTATTCTGGAGTTGTTGCGTAGTTAGTGTAAATGCAGTGTTAGGCTTGAGGGGGTTGATGGTCACTGCAAAGGGGTTGATAATTTGGAAACTAAGTTGAGGATCTTTGAGAGTTTCGGATTTGGAGAATTGGGGTGCTTCGAATTGGGAATTTTGGGAATTGAGATGACTCGAAATTGGAGAATTGTGAGACTGAGTTGGGACACCGAAGAATTTGAAATTGACAAATTTAGGGATAGGGGGCTGTACAATTGGAAAATGTAGAAACTAGGAAATTTGATAATCGAAAAATTGCAAGATCGTGCTTGGAAATAGGGGAACTACAAAATTGGAAAATATGAAAATTTGCAATATGGCATCCGACGATGTGACAAATGGGAAATTGTCCGATATCTGATATCGAAGATACCTCCAGATGCAACGATAGCGAAACCGCGTGTACCCTCGCGAGTAAGAAGCGAGCGAGCGTAGGTCGAGAGTGGGGAGAGACGAAATTATCGGCGGGAGAGAGCAAAGCGCAGAGACGAGTCGGCGTTTCGTGTGTTCGAAAGAAGAGTGGTCGAGAGGAGCAAAGCGGGCAAAAGCGATTAGGGGGCGGCGAGAGAAGACTCGTCGTAGCCGTGTCGATCGACAGTAGCGTGAAGTCAGTCCGAGAGAATGACTCGTCGCGCGCGTTTCAACGTCTCGTGGTTGGCCGTGGTGCTGGCCCTGATCGTGCCCTTCGCCGCGGCCCTTTCAAAGCATGATCTCTATCCGTACTCGACACCCGGCTCCTCGATCCTGCAGTCGGACGTGAACGGATTGCTCGTGTCCGCCGAAACGATCCTGAAGACCCCCATCGCATTCTACGACAGAGTCTACAATTCCATATTCGTGAGTACCCATTGAAATATTTCTTTCCCGACTCGATCAGATTACCGGCTGCAGTGTCACTTTGAACCATAACAATGTTATATTATTAGACTATGTTCATGTTTATGCATTTGTAGCATAATCTGAAGAAGATACGTTAACGCTTGGCGAGTTAGTTCGAGACATTGATCACTTGGCGAATAATTCTTCAAGTTTTTAGCATATCAAAATGTTGAAGTATGAAGCAGCTGGTTGGACATTCTACACTTCAGACTATTATACTACATTCTTGATAATGTATTTTTCATACACCATGTTCTACAGACTTGTCTCGCCCGTGTTTGATTATGAGATAACTAAATAAAGAAAGCTGAGGAATGCATGGCGTGGAAGCATGTACGCAGTGCTTAAGAAATGAAACAAATCGTATTCTGAATAGTTACGATTACGTGTCTTGCTACACTGCCTTTGTCGCAATCTTATAATGAAATAAATTGTTCAAACCACGCCAAGTCTGTGAATCAAGTTACTTGAATCTTCACAGTAATCTTGTTCATTATTTAATTTTGATAGCATCACTTTCACACGTAAATAAGTTTAATTATAACAGAGTAGAAAATACTCGCTAGACAATATATTAAAATTTCGTAAAGAAGCCTACCTAGCAGTTTCACAGCGATTATGATTAATCGCGAAGCAGACTGCTAACGTAACGTAAAGAAACGGTGCTATTTTAAAACTCGTCGAAAAGCGGCGCGATTCGGTCGAAAAATTGTTATTTTTATCCCCGTCGACCACGGATTTCCCATCGGACAGCGTGGCCATTCGCATCCGGTCCCGTTTAATTTCGGTGCTCACAAAAATACACGGCAAAACCGGGCTGGAAGTGGCGCGTTTGAACGTTACCGCCGAGCGTGTAACCCTTGGCGCGCGAGCGCGAAACTGTGTAAACAGGGGCACGCGTGTCGCTGTTTACGCTCCGCGGTGAACAGAAACGATCTTTGTCGTGTTGCAACTGGAAAATCGTTTATTTGAAGTTTCAAAATTAAAACCAGGTGCCACTCTGTCCCTGTTGCGCGTCGAAACGTAAACGGTGGAGTTTCTGACGAGATCGAAATAGCGGAGCCGAGGCGACGTTGGCGTGGTAATTCGTTCGTTAATGCTTTATATTGAACGAAGAAAAACCGGGAACATTCGGTCATCCCCTTAATTCGCCTCGTGGTCTAATCCGTCGTCATCTTCTGGCGTGACACGAATTCATTGCGCGCGATGACGGTCGAGAACAGCCGGCGCAATCGCTTAATTGCGCTTGGGTCGTCGCACGAGCTGATTCTCGCGTACCGTCTCGTTACGCGTCACTCGTCACGCGGATACGCGTCCGGACACTCGCCCCTGCAACGCTCATCGACGCCAGCACGCGCGATAACACCCGCGGAAAATTCTCCGATATCACGCTTGGTTTAGGTAGCAGAAGTTAGCAAAATCAACTTCTAAACTTCCGCAGTTTCCACAAGTCTAAATTTCTGAACCTTGAATTTCCATTCGCTGCTATCACATGTAATCTTCTTCAATGCAAGGAACTTCTTTGCGCAAGGGTCTACATTATGTCAGTAGTGCTAGTACCTCCAGTAGGTAATCGAATTTGCACCTTTCTTACTTTGCCCATATCCTTGGAAAAAGAAGGAAAATCATCTTTCCCGGTAAAAAATGAAAATTTCCAACAACCCAAGAGTACCAAAAATGCTACCAGAATTTACTATCATAGTCCCCAAAGAAAATGACGTTCATGAAAGAAACGCTCACAGAAAAGTTCGAGGAGGAGATAAGATTTCGTCGATTTATCAAACGGAGTTTTCGGGTAAAACGGTAGGCAAAGATTAACCGCGAAAAGGTATTGACTCATGTTAGGCAAACACGATCAGATTAGAGTAGTTCTACCGGTTGATCCTACGATGATCTCACTTTTCTACGAAGCGATTCACAGAGCCGCGTACGCAGCGTGAATGAACGTTGATTGCGCGGTTGCTTCTTACCGTAGGAATCTTCGTTCTAATTGATCCTAGCCAGACAAGGTGCATGATCTCATGACAGCGTCATGTTTTCGTCGTGCAACGTGGTAAATGCTATTAATTGGACGTTTAGAAGATGCATAATGCGTTGTTTCCATATTTTCTCTGTTCTTTTATTAAGGAAACTGGATATGAAGGTTCATAGAGACCCTGTAAACTGATCTTTCAGACTCTTATCTAGGAACAAATTGTTCGTATGAAATAATAAAGAGGTTATGGTACACTTATAATAGTACATTAGTTGATTATGTAAGTGCATGTGTATAATGTTGCAAAGTGTTCGTGAACTTGAAACTAAATAAATGTCATGTACACTATATGCACAGGGCTTGAAAGGGTTAATCCAGTCAACAGACCTATCAACTGTAGTCTGGTGTTATTCTTCCTCGTCGACTTGCACGTCCTCATGCTATCATAATTTTTGAAGCACCCTGTATATCGAGTACGCACGGTTCCAAGAGTTTCATTCATCGACGCTCTATCGATACACTCGTCCCGAAACATCAACAATCGTATCGATGAGTCGCGTGTCGAATCGTTGACGAAAAGGCAGCTAGGTCAGAAGAGAAGATAAGGCAAATCGATGACGGATAATTACGAGAGACTGGCAAGGGTATATTTTGATAGTAACATCTGAACGTCGTCTCACGCTCGTTCTTCACTTAGCTGCACAGACGTGGCACCGTTAATTAAGCCCGGTCGAGCATCAGATAAATATCTAATTAGCAGTTACGCAAGGATGCGCGACTCTCGGCAGATGAGCGAGACAAAGTCGTGGAAACAGCGCGAAAATTTCACAACAACAATGTATCACGCGTCGCTAATTAAGACGGATAAATGCATACGTAAGCGTGATCCGATTCATCGGACGGAAGAAGAAGCCGGTGTAATTAGACGGGCCGCGTAACCGCGTAGTTCGCACGTTCGCGGAAACTGAAGCTCGTCGAGGAAACGGATACCTGTTGGTTCCGCCTGCGCGATCCTATCTTCGCTAAACGAACGATATCGGAAACTGGCCGACGCATTTGCATGCGGATGGACGTTGATGGACGATTTTATGTGTAAACGCGGACAATTAGCCTTGACGTTTTCCCACATTAGTTAACGGATGATTCGTAGCGGGGGAGAGACGGTTGCGAAATTACGCTCGCGATTCTTCAAGATTGTCCGGGCGACGTCATCGTTGACGGAGGTCAATTAGCCTCGCTTGAAAAATTTACGGTTAAGTGAATTACGTCGGCGACTTTTACGAAAACCGATATTCATTCAAGGTTACTGAGTTTCTATCGAAAATCCTATTTTTTACGTTCTAGTAATCGTTCCTTCAGGGATGATTTTTTAAGATTTACTCTTTTCGTGTGATATATTTTACTCTGTAGCGATTATATAAGCAAATTGTATCTAGTTCAAAAACAATGGTACCGTGATCCTTGCTCGAGGAATTTAAAAACTTAATAAAGGCAATTACCCTTATCGACACACGTGTAATTACACTTAAGGAGGTTAATTTCCAGAAAACGATGTAGATGAAAAATTATCGTAAAATCAGTACGACTACGTGAGTTTTATCCAATTTTGCCCAATGGCAACCGTAACCGACCTACGCCAGTTTGCAACATGCTGAATGACTTTCTCAGACGGCACGCGATGAAAATGTTACGGTCGCGGTAATCATCAGCACGCGGTGAAATTCGTGACCAGCGTCGGATGTTTGCTATGCAAAACGTGAACCACTTGTTCGACGAATTGATTGACACAGATAAGCGGCACGATACACACGTATCCCCGCGACGGTCTACTTAGAAACTCGGCCTACACGACAATCATCTCTATTTCGCTTATCGTCGACGATTCTCAGTCATCAAAATGATTGCGGACGATTACACGATTGCGTTAGCGCGTGCGGTCCGCCTTGTTCACCTCGCTGCTCGTCTAGAGCGTCTTCGTCGTCCGGAGACGACGCCGCGAGCGTTAGTTATCGCGGCTGTCGAGGAAAATTCAATGAGCAACGAGCGCGGCTCGCGAATCTCGTTATCCATGCCAAAGTGTCCCGCGGAGCGATCGAGTTTTCAAGTTTAAACGAGCACAAAGTTGCTATTTAACGCGGTGGCGCGAAACCGGGTACGCCGCTCGTTGTTTGCCCGACTAATTGAACCTTTCGTCGCCTAGCGGTTTACCAGCTATCTCCTTTCGCTTCTAACTTCTTTGGAAATTGCGGAGAAATCGAGTTCCGTGACTCTTCTAGGGAAAGCAGTTTTTCACTCGATCGTCGCAATGATTTGCACCATTATATTTTTCTGCTCATCGAAGTATCGACCGTCATGTATCAACCAAGTAGGATGCATATTCTTTATTAGTCGCATACGGTAATTTATTATATGTGAGTCAATATATTAAATTACTGGCTGTCATTGTTGCTATTGTTCACTTTGATGCATGGTATGTCACGAGTGAACAGTTGGTTCAAAAAGGAAAGACATCATGTTCACCAGATTTAGTACCCACTGGCCGCTTTCAGACTTTGGATAAAAGCTTCTACGATTCTCAAGAGTGTGTTCCGATATTTCATGTACTTCCCTTGCTCCACGAGTGTATAAATAAAAGCGCACGGTTAAAAATAAATGAGTCGAAAAAAGATGCGAAATATTCGAAGCTAGTTAATGACCCAGTAGATAGGAATAATTCCACTGGGTCCCCCTTCCCGTTTCGACGTGTTCGTCGAGCGAGCAATCGGGATAATCAGCCACATCAGGAAGAGAGACATCAGCGAGCAAAATGGATTCCATGTATTACTTCCAGCGAGTCCCTATCTATTTTCACCGTTTTCTCTCGCGTTTACGATCACCACGGGGATTACGTGTGTGCGTGTGTGTCATCGGCTCGACTGTGACCTACGACCCGCGCGATAGCCCCGACGAAGATAGCGGCCGAGTCCAACTATTCCCCCACTCGTGATACTCGCCACTGTCAAAACGTTCGTCGAGCACGGAAACACGATCGATGACCACTCGTTCGATCTCTGTCCTTCTTTCTCCCGAGACTCGTATCGGTGCTCCCGGTTTGCCTCTCGTAATTGTCACTTGGAAAATCGTATAATCGGAAATGGCTAATCTGCGCCGATTGCCATCGATCGGGCCAAGATTGAAAGGAGAGAAGAGCTCGAACGGAATAATTACGGCTACTCGCAGGGATTCGTTACCCCCTTTTTTTCGTTTCCCCTTTCGCTTAGAAACTCGCGTTGTCTGGCGCGAAATTGAGCGCGAGGAAAAGGATTGATCGGTGACACTCGATAAATTATTCATTTGTATCTAACGGCGACTGCAACAGGATCGTTTCTACATTGTCTAATTCGTGTCAATTTCCGTGACCGGGTCGCTCGTTGAACGATACGCGCGACTCGGGTGTTAAATTCGACGCGGCGCCCGTGGTATTAACATCACGTGAAAACAATACGAGCGCTGAACAATCATCTCGAAGTTCGAGCGACGTTAAACGCTTTGAAACGAGACCGTGAGACAGACCGAAACCAGGCCGGAATTTGGTTGTCGCCTTCTGCCATCGAGCACGTTCGTGCTGCAGATCCAAATGCATCATCCGTTCAGACCTACGTTTGCGTGTCACTTCTTATTCGTGCTAAACTTACATCCTACTATTTGTAGTGCAATGTCACTTACACAATACTTCCATAAAACTTTTCTGAAAATATACTTGATCGAAGATACAATTCTCACATATTTTAGAACAAGGTTTCACGAAGATATGAATATCTTTTTCGACTTAGATCATCTCAGTTCGGATATAAATAAATACCCCAGAGTAAGGGTTGAATTTACCTTCGATTTCCACGGAGCATATCAATCAACTTTCATCAACGTTATTTTATCCGAACGATTCATTTCCTTCAATTTTCTTCGCTTTTCGCGATCCTCTCTCGACGATTTCATCTTCAAGCATCCCCTTAATCAAGGCTACGAACGACCCGCTAAAGAACCCTCGAAGAACGCGGAAGTGGATCCTAGAAAGTCTTCGTTAGCGCAACTTCAATTCCCTTTTCCAGTTTATCAAAAGTATCGGGTTAAGTTCAGACGATGAGAAAAGCGGTTTTTATTTCGTTTATGACGAAGAACTGCGGCTCTCCGTAACGAAGGGGACAGCTGCTCACGAATATGGAGTAACGCGGTCGCCTTTCAGTTTAGCCAATTGACGAAACGACCGCGCGTCTGCCAGCGAGTTGAAGTCGGATCTCGATTTCAAACCCTTTCTTCAGCGTGCACCGGGTGAATGACTCTTCGTCGTTTATGTATACAACACTTGAGAGACTTCCCGTTGTGCCGCAGCACGTGCTAGCTTTACCTGTTGATTTACGTCACATGTCTTCCTTCGTTTATCTTAAGTTCAAACGTGGTTATAGGTCGATAATTTGAAATTGGTATTAACTTAGATCAGCGAGTCTAGATATGCAAATCCACCCCGAATCTGAGCTTGTAAAATTTCGGAGACTGCTAGGAGGAATTTAGATAAAGACGGGTGAAACTTTATCTCTGAACTCAAACCAGAACATTAAAGAACGATATCTTCCATTCTTGATCGAGTAACTACGACTGGAGCTTTAAGCTCCGCTTAATTTTAAAACTATGATTATCGCAGGTGAACGGAAATGGCGTACTCTCGTTCGCCAGAGCAATGCCAAGGTTCTTCAACATTCCGTTTCCCTTGGACGACCCTGTGATCGCACCTCTTTACACGCATGTGGATACCAAAACATCAGGACGAGTGTACTATGGTGAAACGGACGCACCGGAAGTGCTGGGTAGAGCCGGCGGAATGGTTCGCAGCGCCTTCTCGGACGCTGCTGATTTTATGCCGACTCATGTGTTCCTCGCTACATGGGTGGATGTGGGATACTATGATGGAAAGAGTGATAAGGTGAGTAAAACTGCATCGAGTTTCTATGATTCACCTTCGGAACTTCTGTAAACTACGCGAAAGAAGAAAACTCTGTTACATCAGGGTCTGAGACACTGATCTCTTATGAATCTTCCTTATGTTATCGCCAGATCAAATGTACAAAAGATTGCGGATAAAAAGAGCGACGAAGGGTGCAAGAATGATGCAGATACCTATTGATCCTACTCGTTAAAGTAACATGCTTTCTCCTAGGTGAACACGTATCAAGTAGCCATCTCCTCAAATGGCACGCATTCCTACGCCGAGCTGTTGTACCCGGAAAACGGCATACAATGGATTCAAGGTGAATCGCACCCTAGTGGTCTACCTGACGCGAAGGCTCAAGCAGGATTAATGAGCGAAGGAAGAATGTACACGCTGAAGGGTTCCGGGACGGATCAGATTCAGAATGTCGACAAGTGAGTCACGGAACGACCGTTTACGAGCGATTAATCTTGTCTACGAGCAACTTGCGCAACGACATCGTAATTTCTATTGTCCAGGTGGTCGAACGTGAACAGACCGGGTCAGTGGATGTTTTACATTGGACCAACGTCCGATGATGAGGATGTGAGGACCCCTGACAATATTGAAGGTGAGGATCTACTCCCAGACCTATCGGGACAATCTTTCAAAGCCCCAAGTTTGTAGACAAAAACTACGTAAACTTGTTCCCTACATATTTTAATCACCCTGAATCGGCACGTCATCTCATTATTTTGATATTAATCGTGCAATACTTTTGTTCGTTGATCAGACACCAGCGCAACGAATCAGATAACCGATTGCAGAACCGGGGCAACGATGTGCCACAGCAAAGCGACCTGCACCGACTACGAGGCTGGTTTCTGCTGCCACTGCAAGCAAGGATATTTCGGCAACGGCAAATCCTGTCAACCGAACGGTAAATTCGAGTCGTAAAATATCTCGACACACTCGCGAATCACGCGTCCCTTTGATCCAGCCACGGTATATAAAAATTCGCTTTCAGACGGTCTCGATCGTTTCTTTTCGCGTTGCGAAACAGACACCCAACAATCTCGCCCGTCTGATCTATTCATAGATCACAAGAAACTTGTCCTGCCTCGTAAAAGACGCGGTTCTGCTCAGACACGCGTAAAAATGTTTTTAACCGGAACGGAGGATTCAAAGGGTTGTAAAAATTCGTAGATGTTCCACTGCGAGTGAACGGACGCGTTTCTGGGATCATCAACGGCGTGGAATTTCCGGCTAGGGACCTCCAGTGTTACGTTCAGACGAAAGACGGAAGAACGTACACGGCTTTGTCGAGGGTGCCCGACGAAATTGGAGCTAGTTTTCAGCTGCTGGGGAACCTCGGTGGCGTGATCGGCTGGCTGTTCGCGAAACCGGTTAGCGACACGAAGAACGGGTACGAACTCACGGGTACGTTTTTGTGAAGTCCGTCTTTAACACTCAGCGAAATCTGACAGAGTCTTCCATTTATAATTTCGCGAAACAATTGATTCAGGGGGTATGTTCAACCACACCGCGGAGTTAACGTTCGCCTCAACCGGCGACAAAGTGACGATACGAAGCAATTACCTCGGCCTGGACGTCTTCGGACAACTAAAGATGGAGGCGGAGATCAAAGGTACTTTGCCCAGGTTGTCGAGGGACACCAAGGTCGACTACGGCGACTACGACGAACTTTATACCAGAGCGCAGCCCGGAGTAATCCGTGCACAGAGCGAGAGAACTTGCAAGGTGAAAGAGGCGGGCGTGGACCGGGAACTGACTTTCATGCAAGATCAGACGATCCTCTACAACGAGTGTCCGTACCTGACCGTCGAGCCTGAAGATGACACGAACAGATTGAAATTCTTCAGAGGCGTCACCACGTACGAAGCCACTGAAGGAATCGTGCGTTTCGCGGTCAACACGAAAGTAGCGCCCTTGGAAGAAGAGGACCCTTGCATTCAGGGGAGGGAGACTTGCAGCGAGCACAGCTCGTGCGTTGTCGAGGGAGACAACTTCAAATGTGTCTGCAATCCTGGGTAAGTCATTTTTGAGTGGCAGAATGGCACTGCTAGTCGAGGTACTGATATGGGTCTTCTGTGGGATATTTAAAAAAAATAAAGTTCAAGATCGAAAGTGAGATAAGTTAGTCTTTCTCTAACTACACCAAGAAATCTAGATGTCTAAGTAAAATCAAGATGACATAATAAAAGTCAGCTATGCACCAATTCTATATTGATTGACCCTCAAAGATTCTATTGTAGATCATTAAAGTCACACGGTACACCCTGTATATCTTCCTCGACCTAACTTATCACCTTATCGACCAGATATCAGTACCTGTACGAAGAGAACGGTAGCGCAGTCTGCGTGGACGTGAACGAGTGCAGCGCCGGCAACCACATGTGCTCTCCCGATGCACAGTGCATCAATCAAGAAGGCAGCCACACGTGCGAATGCAGACCTGGTTTCTCTGGCGACGGTCGAGTCTGCGAGAGTAAGTTACCGTGCGTTGTTAACGTAAGAAATCTGCTTTACGCGTTGCCAGTAACTGTATCGTCTGTTGTAAATGTAGGACTACCCTCTTGCGAGGATACACGTTGCGGCCATTACGAGATATGCGTGATGATAGACGAAGTGCCCGATTGCGTTTGCATGCCGGGTTACGAGGACACCGAGGAGGGATGTTACCCCGTGCAACGCGGTGAGAATTGTCGGGAAAGAAGGGATTCGATGATCAAGGGAATTTGAATTGATTATCGACGGAGTTTGTTGCAGGTCCCTGTAATATCGAGAACAACTGTTCACCCAATGCGGTCTGCAACTTCGATACGGACGAGGAGAAGTTCGTCTGTGTTTGTTTGCCGGACTTTGTTGGTAAGATAATTTAATGTACAAATCAAAGGTGTCTCGGTTGCTTTTATTTATCCAAACTTCGTGACAGATGCTGAAGTGTTCGATGGAACGATCATAACTCAAATAATTTTGCTACATTTTATAACTGTGACTTAGTTCTACATTTTCGATTTGCTAGAACTAGCGCACTACTTCTCGGACAGAATTTACACAATTTCCTGGCAGATTCCTTAACTTTGGTAACGACCTTACTAAATTGATCTTATATGAAAGTGTCCCGTGTAACCCTTCGCAAATATCCGGAGGAATTTTATCGAGCAAAATTGGAAATTGAACAGGGCCGATAGCTTAACTAGAGCAGAACAATTAAACTACTCCTTGGACGTAGGACTTAACGTCGTTAAAGGTAACCAATAAGTAACAAGTTTCGTGGAGCTCTATTACGTTATCCTGTTACTCTAGAAAGTTGCAGGCGGCCTTGTGTAGAGCACAAATTACGTTGCAATGGATCGCAGTGATCGATGGAGTATTGAACTACGGAATTCTATGTTTTGCGCGGTCCCGGCAACGGTATCTCGTGATCAGCTTTCGTTTCAACGATCACAATCGATTGCAGGGGATGGTTACACGTGCAATCTGGACGGGGACGAAACCACAACGGATGAACCACCGAAACCGCACTGCACGGAGGAGATGTGTTCGTGCTCGAGGGGCTGGAAATACCGAAATAACGAATGCGTGCGACAGGAAGAAAAGCCCGTTGACTGGGATCGGGATTGTAAGTACGAGCAATCAGAAGTTCTGCTTCTGGTTTATTTATCAGGTTCGACAGCTCCCTCGGTTAAACTCTTTTCAAAGGGTTTAAGAACCTTAACTTGCACGGGAAAGAGATTTTCTGATAGATTTAAGCCTTTGATTAATCGCAAGCTTTGTTTTGTCCCTCTTTTACTTTGCGTGGAAAATTCAATCCCTCGAGAACAATGTCTTTGTGCTGTCGGAGGAACAATAATTAACTTGTTAAGCTAGTCATAACCGTTCGATAAAAATGCACCAAATTACATGCCACTCTTTAGTCGAACTCAAAGGATCTCGTTAAAACTTTCGTAAACAAGTATTTCTTTCGCGAGTTCGAATCTCGAAGGGATTGAATAACGTGTCAAGAAAATTCGATGCATGACTAATAGCACGAATCGGTCATGTTGAAATTACGATCAACTCGCGTGAATTGCGATGATCACTAACAGTTAGCTACGAACGGTTTGCATCGTGCGTTCTAGTATCGGCACGACCAATCCCGGAATGCTACGAAGACGGCTGCATATGTCCCTGGGGATACGATTACGACCATTTCGAGGAGATTTGCACGCCTATACCAGGATACAACCACGAAACGATGGGTCCATCAGGAGTTCACTGTACGGAAAGCTTTGCTTCTCTGCTTGTTTGGCTGAATTAACAATGTATACAGCGGAAGCCATGCTACCCGCGGTCACATTAATTTAATCTTATTTACGTGTATCACGATCGAATTTAATCATCCAGTTGACTATCCATTTATCAAAAGTAGCGTCTATCAATTACATCTTGTACATCAATTTTTCCGCTATTAAAAAATAAAAATTTTGATGGGCAGTCAATTTGGTAGAAAAGTTGGCACGTCCCACGGGCACGTAAATTTCGCTTTTAAATTCGATCCACAATTGACTCACCGAAACATTTTCAAGCAATTAAACATGACACCTCGGCTGATCGCCCTCGTAATTGCGCACGCTTCTGTCTAGTATCGTGCAACGTGGTGAACAGGTGTCATCCCTACGCCCAGTGTGTCTACGTAACGAGCACCGCCGATTACGAGTGTCGTTGCAACCCGGGTTACGAGGGTGACGGTATGGAGTGCACGAAAACAGGTACGTCACATCGCATCTTGTTCATCGTTTCGCCTATCGTTCATTATCACTCGCGTACGAGCAAGTACAATGGCGTCGTTGCGGTGCGATGACGAGTCATTGAAAGCTATTGTTCCTGCGCAGAGGTGTCCTGCTTGGAGGTGGACATCTGCGACCCCAACGCCTCCTGCCAACACGAGGAACCCTTGGCCAAGTGCGTCTGCAACCCTGGATTCGAAGGAGACGGAACCACTTGCAGCCCCATCGGTCATATCTTTGCTATCTTTCATCTTATCACGTGCTCGAGAGCTTTTACACAATATTTCATCGGGGAGAAGAGTATTCTGTTATCTATTAGAGTAGACATAATCGGATGTCAACATTGGCTTCAGAAATTTGAGAATTTATGACTTTGGAAGTTTGAGAAGATTTCCTTTTTGTCCTTTCGAGATTTTAAGAACGCTCTATTAATTTCATAAGCTGTTCGATGGACGAATATTTTCTCCCTGATTGCAAGCCTGCAGCCACTTTCCGTTGCATGTCGTAACACGATGCAGTTACCTCAGAGAAAGCCCTTGAATCCCAAATCCAAAATCTCTAACGATGATCCTCTGCGTGCAGACGAATGCAGCGGTAACCAGGACTGCCTGGAGAACGAACGGTGCTCGTACAACCCAGCGAACTCGCGATACGAGTGCACCTGCAATCCTGGCTTCGGCATGGTGGATGGACGTTGCGTGGTGTCTGATTGTTCGACGAATCCTTCGCAGTGCCACGTGAACGCGCAGTGCGTATCGGCCGGTGACGGGGGGTACAAGTGCGTCTGCATCGAGGGATACAACGGTGACGGGATACAGCAGTGCTTGGAGGACCACATCGGCTGCAACGTGTTGAATAATTGCGGCAGAAACGCGGTCTGCGAATACAATCAGACGTCCGCGAATTTCGCTTGCATCTGTCAGCCGGTACGGTTATTGAACACCTCGGTTTAGCTCGAATTATAAGGACGCGGTTTCCGGAGAGAGCTGTTTGGTTATTGCTAACGTTAATAATAGTTTATGCGTTTGTTTGAACGGAACTCGATGGTACAACGATATTGTATACGCGTTGCAAACAGAGTGTAATCCCCGTGTGAAGGTTACCTGCACATTTGTGAATCTATGATGGTCGAGCAAATATTGCTTACGATGGTTATTACTCTTGCAACTGTTTATACAACTCAGCTGCAAATCTGGTTTAAAAAATGGCAGTCGAAGAGGTCTCATAGATTCAGAATTAGATCTTTGGGACGCAAAAGTTTGGGGAGCTTGGAGTGTTCTGATTAGAATTATTTTTAACGATATTTGAACCCGCAGCGTTGGAAGTCTAGAGATAGGACAATTTAAGTTAATTTAATTAAACAAGAGTAGCCTCGTGAATACCAGTACAATTTGGCCCGCACCGCAAGTAGATTAGCAGTGGCAATGATCAGACAGATCTAAACCGTCGAATTTCCACGTTTCCATATGTAGAAACTCCGGAAAGTCCAAATTCCCCAATTACCATATGCCCATATTTCGAAATTCCAAATGTTCGAAAGCACAATTGGTGCGTCCATGGTGTGCAGTTAATACGCGAGCGTAACAGGTGAAGTTTAAATGACACCAGTAAAACGTTCGCATGCAACAGATGCGAGGCAGCGAATGATGATCGCCGAAACATAACGGAGAGCGATTCCGACTACTTTCAGGGCTATTACGGGGATGGTTTGACGTGTCTACCTCAGTTGTCCTGCAGACACAACCCGACCCTTTGCTCGCCGGACGCGACCTGCGTGGCAGCTGGCAGCAATCAATTCGCTTGCGTATGCAACGAAGGTTACACCGGAGATGGGAACAACTGTAAACCCCGACCGAAACACGAAGCAAACTTCCTGCTGGTGAACCAAGGAATGGCCACCCTGAGGATTCCGTTCACGGTTACACACGACAATCCCGGCAGTCCGATTTACATCGAGTACTCGCAGATGGCAATAGCGATCGACATCGACTGCACCAACGGCAAAGCTTACTCGAGCGACATCACGGGTAAAGCCGAATTTACGCCCTTTCGTTCGGATAATTTCAATAAATTCGGTTTAATCGACAGATTCGCGTGCGCCGAGATAAAACTCGTGGTCCCGGAATCACGATGCAATTTTCTCGCGAGAGTATATGGCCTGTTTGTCCGTCTACACCGAGATTTATATTTCTAGGTAATCGAATAATCGAGCTGGCTTACAACGGATCGATGGCGGACACGTTCCTGCGGAAAGTCAGCAGCCCCGAGGGACTGGCGGTCGATTGGGTCTCGAGAAATATTTTCTGGACCGATTCGAGCAAGACGACCGTCGAGGTTGCCAATCTCGAGACGAAAAAACGTAAGGTACTCGTTTCCGACGGACTGGTCAATCCTAGGGGAATAGCAGTCCACCCCTATCGCGGGTGAGTACTTAAATAAATTTCGAGGATGAAAAAAATTGGAGAGAATGCATTCAATTCCCAGCACGAAACTACAACTAATTAATATTTCATCGTCGCGAACTTTATTAAAACTGGCGCAGGTTAATTTGTCAGAGCGCGAGGAAAATTAAATTGAATGGGAAACTTGGCTGTTTTAGCAAGATATTCTGGTCCGACTGGAATCGCGCGTCGCCGAAATTGGAGTGGGCCAACGAGGACGGCAGTGGTCGGGCAATCTTCCTGCAAGGAGATTTCGTAAAATTACCGAATTCGTTGAGCATCGATTGGGCAACGGATGAGCTGTGCTGGGCGGACGCTGGAACGTTCACGATAAGTAAATACAGAATTGTTTCTAATAGATACATTATGATCATCGTCGTTAATTTCATAATTCCTCTTTCTGTTTAATCCTTTCAGGTTGCATGGAGATCGATAGCAGAGAGATTAACGTGGTTACCAACGAGTTGACTTATCCGTTCGGTCTGGCGATCTCCCATCAGAATTATTACTGGACCGACTGGAAGACGTGAGTTCACAAAACTGTCTTCAATTTAAAGTAGAACAATATGAACTCTCTGAACAGTTTTCCCATTACGATATTTCACCGTCGCGTGTACTAAGTTGAAGTTATTAAACGTTGAAGCGCAGGAAAATGGAATGCGCGCGGTATTTAAATCATCTTTTATTTACCGTCGCAGGCATAAGATCGAAGTCGCCATGAAGAGCAGCGGGGACAGGAAGCCGGCCATATCGGTTCCACCGGGAGGAAGCGGTAAATTATATGGAATAGTCGTCGTTCCTGAGTCATGCCCGCGAGGTAAATCAAGTTTTACGTCAACGTACGCTGTGTCCCCGTAAAATTAATCGCCTCTTTAAAAGTACATAAAAGCGGGAGAGACATCGTAATTCGCAATGACCTCGTGGGTGGTAACCCAATTAGTCGCGTCATAATCAGCTAATCGATCATCGTCACTTGATTAAGCTAACAAGCTATCGACAACTAAGTTATCCCATCGATGAATATCCCAGTTATTAAGACCTTTTCTAAAGTTACAAATCCAGCTATTTTAATCCTCGATTAAACAGTCAATTTGCTTAATTATTTCATGACAGTGACCAACGTGTGTCAGTACGAGAACGGAAGGTGTAGCACGGATCAACTGTGCTTACCGGATGGTCAAGGTGGCAGGACGTGCGTGTGCGCGGACGACGCGACAGGACCTTGCACCGACGCTCACTAGATTAAGCTACAAAGACACGAGCGGTCGAAACCAAGAATTCGGCTCGTGCCAATCGCGTGTAAATTATAATATTACTCTTTGTATGATTAGTTTACGTTTTCGAGTAACACTTTTGTATCTAATACAGGGACCGCGGCGTGAGAAGCTGGCTGTATTGTACCACGGTCCCCTGACGCGTTATTTAATAAAAACTTAAGAAACAATAAAACTTAATTACGCTTCACGAGCTCATTCTCCCTGGTGATAAATTTTTGAAGTACTAAAGGGGTGTAGAGAGGACAAGGAACTCTGTCTGGGAATTTAGACATCTGAAGATGTAGAGATCCGAAGGGGTGGAGATCTGGAAGGTTAAAGAATCTAAGGGAATGTAGAAATCCCATGTAGGAATCTGAGTGTTGGATGTTAAAATCTGAGTGGTAGAGAGATGTGGATGGCGAAGTTCGAGGGTGTAGAGACTTTGAAAGCTATCTAAGGATCTGAGCTAGAATCTGAGGATCTAGAATTAGTTGTAATCATTAGAACATCAGTCAACATCGAATCTTATTCGAAGTCGATGTGAGACGTCAACAAGGAAGAGCTAAATTTCCGATACGATCGCGAACGTTAAAATCAGTTTGTCGTCGCTCATAAGTTGGCGATAATGAAGCCTCAGCTTTCTCAGTTCTGTACCGGGGCGCAAATAAATTCTCAGCAAGGCAGAGCATCCGCGAAGGGCAATTACGGTGTTCATTACTGCGGTAACAGCCGCCCATTTCATTTTTCCGTCGCTGTATTACGATGATAAGCAGCTACTTAGATACCTAATAAGAACAACAGCGTAGCATGGCCGCGGCATAAAAATACAATTCCCCGTTGTTGATGATCAATTATCTTCTTCACGACGACGGTTTAACAAGACAGAGGAGAACGAGGCCGCGGTTAAACGGCGAGGAACCATTCGCGTCGCGCAGTAAACGATTCATCGACTAACGATCGACTTTCTCCTACCGCGACTCTTTTGAACGCGTCGCGTTTAATTAAACTTTAGCCAACGGCCACAGAGAGGCAAGAATCTTCGAGTCCGAGGTGTCTCCCAGGAGTTGTTCCGCGATCAGACCACGGTTCACGCTGAAACTCGCTGGAAGGAAACGAAGTGTCGTCCCTTCCCCAGTGAAATTACACGGTTTTTTCGTCGATTGACTCTGCCTCGAGCCGCGATAAAGACGTTCGATCTCCCAGTTCTTTTCGTCGAGTTTTCCGACGTTAATATCGTTGCACGACTCAAATATTTGACGGCGGTAACAAACAAGTCGAAGTTATTTGTAAGACAAACAAAAATGCAATATCGGGAAACGGTGGGTATAGTTCTCCAATGAATATCGAAGCGAACTCGCAGTTACGAAGTCGAAGAACGTAATATCAGTGTCTACTTTAAAATTCAGAAAACTTGCCAAGCGCACAACCACTGCCGGGACACGTGGGACATCCGAGTGCAACGTAGGCGCTAAGAGCGCGTTTGAAGACTCTGGATGTCTGAGCTTCAACGGTAAGAGCTTGCTAGCTTCTAATCCTGTAACGAAAAACAGATAATCCGGAGTCGAAAGAGAATTTACACTCATCCAGGGCTCACCGTTGCAATCTCCGCTTTAATGTCTGCACCGAATAAGAAACTCAACACCCTACGTAATCTCGTCAAATAAAGCTTAGTACCTAACAGTTTCATAGCGTAATAGGGGTGCATAGAAATAGCTACGCTTAATGATATCATTACGATAATGATGCCAGCTTGATGAAATATTTAGTCGAAAATCGATATTATTCACCGAGTATTATATTTGTAAATAATTTGTATTCAAGGCTATAATTGCAAGAAGGAACGTAACACGAACAGAATGGTAATAAAGTAACAACTCTCGATTTCGCTGGAGTTCCGAGCTACTTAGATACCTAATAAGAACAACAGCGTAGCATGGCCGCGGCATAAAAATACAATTCCCCGTTGTTGATGATCAATTATCTTCTTCACGACGACGGTTTAACAAGACAGAGGAGAACGAGGCCGCGGTTAAACGGCGAGGAACCATTCGCGTCGCGCAGTAAACGATTCATCGACTAACGATCGACTTTCTCCTACCGCGACTCTTTTGAACGCGTCGCGTTTAATTAAACTTTAGCCAACGGCCACAGAGAGGCAAGAATCTTCGAGTCCGAGGTGTCTCCCAGGAGTTGTTCCGCGATCAGACCACGGTTCACGCTGAAACTCGCTGGAAGGAAACGAAGTGTCGTCCCTTCCCCAGTGAAATTACACGGTTTTTTCGTCGATTGACTCTGCCTCGAGCCGCGATAAAGACGTTCGATCTCCCAGTTCTTTTCGTCGAGTTTTCCGACGTTAATATCGTTGCACGACTCAAATATTTGACGGCGGTAACAAACAAGTCGAAGTTATTTGTAAGACAAACAAAAATGCAATATCGGGAAACGGTGGGTATAGTTCTCCAATGAATATCGAAGCGAACTCGCAGTTACGAAGTCGAAGAACGTAATATCAGTGTCTACTTTAAAATTCAGAAAACTTGCCAAGCGCACAACCACTGCCGGGACACGTGGGACATCCGAGTGCAACGTAGGCGCTAAGAGCGCGTTTGAAGACTCTGGATGTCTGAGCTTCAACGGTAAGAGCTTGCTAGCTTCTAATCCTGTAACGAAAAACAGATAATCCGGAGTCGAAAGAGAATTTACACTCATCCAGGGCTCACCGTTGCAATCTCCGCTTTAATGTCTGCACCGAATAAGAAACTCAACACCCTACGTAATCTCGTCAAATAAAGCTTAGTACCTAACAGTTTCATAGCGTAATAGGGGTGCATAGAAATAGCTACGCTTAATGATATCATTACGATAATGATGCCAGCTTGATGAAATATTTAGTCGAAAATCGATATTATTCACCGAGTATTATATTTGTAAATAATTTGTATTCAAGGCTATAATTGCAAGAAGGAACGTAACACGAACAGAATGGTAATAAAGTAACAACTCTCGATTTCGCTGGAGTTCCGCCACGTCGTTACCGGAGGCTCGCGAGCTGTAGAGTCGCTAATTCATTCACTGCAAAAAAAAGGGGAAGGAAAAAAGCTGACGAGGAAGAGAGTAGCGTTGAACTCGGCCAGAAAAGTCGACGGTTGCCCAGCGAAAGGGCACGGCAGAACCGGCTGATCGAGCACCCGTCACTGCCAGACGTCTAACCGACGTTTTCCAATTCGCACGGCCATTCACCGGCCTCCAATCGACAAAAGCGTCGGCTCTTTTGCAAATTGCAAATTGCCTGTGCGAACGCGCGCGCCGCTTGTTCCTCGCTCGGAAAAACGCATCGAGCTGCCGCAACCGCAATACGTTCCTTCGATTTCCTCGAGACTTCCATTATAAACACACTTTGAGCGCGAATGCGGCTGCTCCTCGCTTTGAACTCCGCCATCTTCGCAATGGACCTGTTCTGAGCGAACTTCGTGTTGCGAATTAACATCGGCTTTGCTTCATCGATTTACTCGGGCCATGTTTGAGCTTCGCCGTTCAACTTGTCTCCGCTTAGTCAATATTTTCTTGTGCATAAATTATTGGATAAACATCGAATATGTTGGGATATTATTGGATAGTATCGGTGCCAATGACGTTGGTGTACGTTGAGGATACTACATTGGAATTTTATTCTTCACTTTCTATACTTTGTGAAAGATAACTGTCTACATTTATAAAAGAACATTTATAATTATTATAAGCATTGTCTACATTTATACTTATTATATGAACAACAAAGCTTATTCGCAAGGAGGTTAATTTCATCGTGCTGTCGAATAATTTCAGTTGCAAGGAGGTTACTTTCACCGTGCTGTCAAATAATTTCAGTTGTCCGTATGGTAGAACAAATTGCATGTAACAAGCAAATTTAGAGAGTCCAAACAACACACTAATTGCGACTAACATACCCTGAGAACGCGCAGAGTCCATTGTTTTCTATTTCGTGCAATTCGAGCGAATGTCAGCCACACCGTTCATTTTTGCCAGAATTCCAGCCACCTTTCCGGCTCGGGATTTACGTTTTTCCCGCGTTCGTGGTAAACAGCGTTGAAAGGACACCGAAAGAGCAACCGCAACACGAATGCAAACAAGATTACGCCGCTATCTGTGCGAGTTCCGCGCGGCTAGAAAATAAGAAGCAAACCCGGCCGTTAGCCCGACCGCCGACAACAATTACGCGACAATTATCGGACAATGCAATTACGAAGCACGCCGGTAACCGCAAATTTCCACGAAACCCGTCCGGTTTGTAACGCCGTTCACGACCGCTGTGCCGGTGTCCGGCATCGGGGCGAGAAAACAGGGGTTTGGAGAACGAGAACGAAGAGTCGCGCGAGAGTTTCAAGTAAACAGGAGTTAAGGTCCCTGTACGTTCACGATAAAAATGACCCACTGTATTACAATGTATGTTTCACTTCAGCACAACAATTTTTTTCGTACCAAATATTGTACAATACGAAATGATAAAGAAAGTGGGGGTGAAATTTTATTTGAAAGCATAATTTTATATCGAGATGCAGTTATTAATAGTGATCGAAGAATTTTATTTGTATCTAAAATTTAATTCACGAAACGATGAGTCGTGCAAATGTACGTCCACAGGGGTGCATAGGGGTAAATTTTTAAATCTATAGAAACGAATCAAAACCATGTTGAGATTCATATACAGTTAGTTAATGTTAACAGTATTATATTAGTCAGCAAACAAGGACGTCGAGGTACACATGTGTCGTCAGGATTCACGGCAGACGTTAAATAGGAAGTAATGCCGTAAGTTCATCCGCGAGTGTAATTCCCTTTGTCACGGAAAAGCCGCGTTAATACCCTAAAATTGTGCCGGTGGACGTAACCCGCTCCGAGTCTGCCTTGTCAACAACGCACGTATAAGACGTATGGAAGTTACCAGTGCCTATATCCCGGTCGCAATAGGACGCGTTAACGTGTAGAAACGTTGAAGCAGAGCGGGTCGCGGAAACTCGCGCGAAACTCGCGAACGCCGGCGCGTCTGCTACGCGTGCTCGCGCGGAGTAGGGTAGCAGGGTAGGAGGGGTAAACGAAGAAGAGTCTCGCGCTAGTCAGTCGGCGGTGAGACTCCGCGTGCAACGCCTCGTTGCCGTGGTTCTTTTCCAACCCCTTCGAGAAAGGGAAGCGCGATTTTTTCTCCCCACGTGCCTAAACTCGGCGGGAATTCCACAGAAACAGAGTGAGCCCGGTGAAAAATTGAAGTATAGTGATTCTTAGTGAACCAGTGCAAATCGAAGAGCCTCATCCGGTGTTACGGTATATAATTTTTGTCGGTGGTCTCTCACGTCGTGTATGTTGGGCCTTTCGGTTAGAGTACGGAGCAGAGACCGCGGATGCACGACCGCGACGAAAATATCCACGAAAAATCTCGGCAACCGGCCAAACGGCCTCGAGAGATCGCTATAGTTCGAGGGACAGCTTTGATAAGATAATTTAAAAGGGGTCTCCTCGTGACTCCAATCGTTCGCTGCGAGCATCCGAACCCCCGAGGTCCTTTCTCCACGCTGCAATCCGCTTAGCGAGACTCCCTCTTCTTTGGGAATTCGTAGCCCTTTTTATCTTTTGTCGATGCACTCGCGTCGGTAGCCTGCTCGTGCAAAGCTCTTAACTATATCGTATACTTCGTGTTTCGCGGAAAGTGACATTTTCATTAAGGGACGGTTTGTGTCTCGCTTATTCGAAGAACGAGGAGATTCGAGGGATAGCCGCGGAGAAACGATACGATCGGATAGCCTCACTCGGCTAATAGAAAAGAAATGGGTCTTGCAAAGACTTTGCTTTGTACTCAAAGTTTACGGATTAATCTTCTGGAGTCAATATTTAGAAACGTTTTACACGAGTATGATTATCAAACGCATATGACTTTTATCTGATACGGAACATCCCACTAAATTTTCCTAAAGGTCTCACAAGATTTCAAGTTACTTGAGTACTTCATAGTTAAAAAGAAGAATCATACTAAATTACACATTTCATAACCTTTCATCAAATTACACTTTCAAATTGATTTGAAACTAATTTTGAAGTATCTCAAACATTTCGAGTTATGATATCAATCCACCATCGAAAATTTACTTTTGACTGCGATTACGTTTAAATATTTCGTCTCGATTCCGTCGAGTGGAATTACACCAGACGATCTCAAATCGGAGAGGACAGAAAGAGATCGAGAGTAGAGAAATTTTTCGAAGTGGCCAATCGCATGACCGAGCATGTTCAACCCTCCAAGAAAAAAGGAGCGGTTAAAAAACTTCATAAAGAGTATGGAGACGTGACGATTTTTACCATGTTCTATATCATCCTTTTTTTGTCCGCGTGCACACGTCAAGAGTCAAACGAGCATTTACGTTGGCGGATGAAAAACTAACAGAAGGGCTGAAAATGTTGTACAGAACAAGATTAAAAGTCATGAAAAACTGCGATTTCGTCTGAAAACTTCCGCAAAATATTTGCAGTAGACACAGTCGCTAGTAGCCTGCATTTTTTAGATAAAACCTCGAGTTAACGCTGTAAAAACATTTTCAAACTTGGAAAGTCGTGCTGCTTATGCATAAGATGAACATACGTGGATGAAATGGAATTAAAAAATCTTGTATGAAACAATTTTGAAGTCAAGTTTTTAAAGTTGCAAAATTCGAATATTTTAAAAAATAGTAGTTCTAAGATTGTAAAATTTCGAAGTTAAACCACAGTTTCTAATTTTTAATGCTTTAGAACTTCATAATTTTAAAGTACTGACGTTGTACAGCTCGTTCCTGAAATTTTAAAGTATCAGTGTTTCAAAGTTACAAAATCCTATTTCAAACTTCTAAAATCTCGAACTAAATCCTAAATTCCTAAAGTCTAAAACTGCTGAAATTTTTATAGTATCAAGGTCCAAAAGCTTAAAGTTCAAAGACCCTGAAGTTACAAACTTCAAAAATTCCCAGTAGTGTCAAGGTCCACAGATCCACAAAATTGATCCAATAAGACTCACGTTCCAAAAACCGTGATGTCCCAAAATCCCAAACTTCATGAGTATCAAAATATAAAAATGTGAAAGTTCCAAATTCCGAAAGTGGCAAAGCTGGTAAACTGGGAAAATTGCAGAGTTCGAAAGTTCTGAAGTACCAAGATCCCAAACTTTAAAAATTCCAAAATGTGCACACTTAAAAGTTGCAAATCCCAAAAATGCCAAAACTTATGAAGTGGGAAAATTGCAAAGTCCAAAAGTTGTAAAATGTGAAAGTACCAAGATCCCAAACTTTAAAAATTCCAAAATGTGCAAACTTAAAGTCGCAAACCCCAAAAGTACCAGAACTCATAAACTAAAAAAATTGCAAAGTCCGAAAGTTGTAAAATATCAAAGTACCAAGATCCCAAACTTTAAAAATTCCAAATTGTGCAAACTTAAAATTCGCAACCCCAAAAGTACCAGAACTCATAAACTAAAAAAATTGCAAAGTCCGAAAGTTGTAAAATATCAAAATACCAAGATCCCAAACTTCAAGAATACCAAAATGTGCAAACTTAAAAGTCGCGAACCCCAAAAGTAGCAAAACTCATAAACCAAGAAAATTGCAAAGTCCGAAAGCCATAAAATTCCGAGATCCCAAATTTGAAGAATACCAAAACAAGAATTTGCAACTTCCGAACCCCAAAACTGCCAAAACTCGTAAACTGGAAGAATTCCAAAGTCCGAAAGCAATGAAGTCCCAAGGTTAGTTGAACTTTACTATTCGAATCGAAGCAGAACAAAAGTCCCGATGAGGGTGTTTCGTCAAAAAGTTGGGAAGCGAACGAGCGCGTAACGCGCGCATTTCAAACTCGGAAGCCACAGTGGCGACGAGATAATCCCTGAAGAAGACCAGACTTTATCGGTTTTCAATTCGCTCGCTGCTTTGATGCTTTTCTCCTGCCACGAGGAATGCTTTATCAACGATAGCTGCGATACATTTCGATCCCCGACGACTGCTCCATAAAATACATAGACTTTCGTGTCCGCGTATCGGGTGATGTTTTGTTTACGCGCTTTTATTCGTGTACACGATTCTGCCAACCTCTGTAGCGCCACTAAATCACTCTTGGTATTCAGTTTCTCTTCGACCCCCTTGTATCGTTCAGCGACTTTGAAGTATTTGTCGCGAACGATTGTGGCCCGCGAATCAAAAGGCAGCATTCAAATCCCTGTTGCTTTCATTCTGTTTCGACAACAAAACGTACGCGATGTATAGCGTACATAGCCTGTTAATCCGCTGGTTTTTAATCAAACGGTCAGAATACGTTTTCATGTGGCGTTAAATCGCGACGTTTAATGTCGCCGTGATAAATGTAACGAGTTTTATCGACCGTTCAGAATTAAAACCATGACATTAGGTCTTGCATCAACGTCGTCAGATGAAATTGTTTAGCAAAAGTTACGTTGTTGCACTGTTATAATCGGACATTTATTGGTTAAATTCCGTGTTTGGAATTTTGATCAAATTAAAGTGTTTGCAAAACGCATGAAAATATGGAAGGGTCAAGTGTTTGCTTTGCTGGACACAAAAAGTTACACGAAGCTTTTATTGAAACAATTTTTATCTGACTGTTGATTTTTGTTCATTTCAGTTACAGAAAACAGCACACGCCGATTAATTTAATTCTTTCATACATTTCGACGTGTCCAATTTAAATTGCTTTCTTTCACGATATTCTAAAACGTTAGATAACAAAAATGTTACCGAGTCACGATAGCAAAAGCCATGACTTTTAATGTCCCGTGACAACGTACCCTCAGAGAAATAAATAAGAATGGGTTTGTTCGTTTCGATACATTATCTTTTCAATAGCAAAGGGATCCCAAGACCCCAATAAGAGGAACCGTGAAAGTAGTGAAGGTAGCCTGAAACAAAGATCAAGATCCCAGGAACCATTCCCGCTATCCCAATTCTTATTTTTCACCGATTCCCATGATACACGTATAACGATCTCTCGATCAGCGCGCTGTGGTCTGTAAAATATTGGTCAGCTCGCTTCAGAAGCCATGACTCTTCACACCGGTCGTTCCCTAATGGAGATTTTGAGAAATTTATATAATTCAGAAATTTATTTCATGTCTAAATATTTAGCATATTTTTTAAGATTGAATATGAAGACCTAGGTATGTGGTTAGGTATGAAGCTCTAGAGATGTAAGAATATGAGAGATTCAGGCTATTGATATCTGGGGATCAAGGTTGGTATCAACCTTGTATCTTGTGGTAGTATCTGAGCATTCAGGTATCTGAGGATCCACATATCTGGGAGTCTAAATGCCTATAGACGTAACGATGTACCGATATCTAGACTATAGATATATAGACGTAGGTACTTTTTGATAAACACACGCAGAAATTCAAACAGCGCGAAATCACGATATCGTAGGAAATTCAAACATTTGAGTAGCCAGCATACCACGGAATTGCCACGGGAACGACGTGATTCGTTATTGAGGATTTCCCGAAAGGCCTAACATCCCCGACACGCAAATCCTCGGGATCGAACCGGTCGATTTGCACGCTGAATCCGCGAACAATGTTGCAGGCAGCAAGATCGATGAAATCCCGATGTGAACACCAACGTTGGAAGGAGAGATAGTGTTTCGCGAGTGATCCCAGTGAAACGGCAGAAGAGATCGAAAGGGGAACGTGTTCCAGACGCGAAAAAGCGCGCGCGGCTGTGTGGGACACGTTTGTACATATGTACATATATGTGCGCGAGTGTGTGCTTCAGCGAGGTGCAAGCCAAGAGAGGAGCAACGGGTCCGTGGAAGCTGGGAGGAACGTTAAATGAATGTTGTTGCAAGGAGCGGCTGTGATCGTGAGAGTAGAATCGGGCCACGCCAGGATCGGCCGATTTCAATTCATAAATGTGCCAGAGGAGGAGCCCACAATGGTGGCTCGGCTCCCGCAACAAGTTCTACTGCTGCTCGTACTCGGTGAGTCGGATACCCTATTTATTTTCACCACCTTTCGAACTGTTACTTCCTCTGATATTGGATCTTTTGGATTCAATCATTTTTAGTGTATTACTGTACAGAATTATTTTCAGATTTTAGGGACCATTTTTAACTTGTCACATTCGTAACGCTGCTGTTCGAATGTGATGAACTAGTCTCATATTTTCACTGTAATTGAATTTTGGTTTTACCATTTTAATTTTCTTCAGTTGTCTTCACGTTGTAAGAATAATTAGCTACCTGTGAATAACTGTCCAGAAAATTGCAGGTCAAGGGGTTAAATCCCAGGATGTGATCTGCCATAAATTCGCGATATTGTGATTTAATTGAAAGTCATAAAAATTAAAAGTTTAAAAAACACCCAAATTTTCAGAGCTCAAATATTCGTCCCGTAATTCTCCATCCCGAAATTCCTGGGTCTTCAAATTTCCGAGCCGAAATACCTCAAATCCTAATCTTGACTTATTTAGCCACGGGTTACTGTGCAAATCCGTTTGTAGGAGATGATTTCAGGAGCGGTATGTCTTGATTGTCGTTTAGGTTTCGATTTACGTTTACAAGCGGAGAACTGCTCGGCCACCCCTTGCACCGGGAACTAAATCCCCGAGTTATGCTAGATCGCTGTTTATTCGGATCTAATTTACCCAGTTAACTGTTTGCGCGATCGTAGCAAGCTACTACATAGGCGACTAATCGTGGCAAGCAATTACGAATTAGTGGCCGAAACGCATGTTTTCCTTTCCATTCTATTATGTTGAATAAATAAATGAAGAATGAAGAGCAAAATATAAGTTTATCGCCGAATCAGAGTTTTCGAAAGACGGTGTATCACATGGACTCCGTAATCCCGACAAGAGTTATTGCCGAACAGGAACCCGGAGTGAGCTATCTCTGGAAACTCGAAAGTTCAACCTGGAACTTTCATCGCGTTTTACATATCACAAATCAAATTGAATTCGGGGAAGTTAGCGATCTTTGTAAGAAACGGAAAGTGTCCTTTTTGAGTCGCTTTTTCCCCGTGCGTAACAGGTAGCAGCTCTTGAAGACCGTAGACCGTTCGCACGACTGAAAAATGCTAATTCTATGTATAGAAAACTTCCTTCCGTAATAAATTCAATATCGAAGAAACTTCTACAATTCTTATCGATATAACGAAAGCCTGTACTACGCTTATTTCCCCTAATTTTGAACGTGGAACCGTTCCAACCTCCTTTTCGAAGTTGAAAAGATGTTCGATCCAACTAGAACCCAATTGACAGGGTCGTTCGCCATGAAGACAGATGGATTGGCAAAGTTTTAATTGACTAATCTGTCGAGGGTAGATAATCAGAATTTCTATCAGGAAGTTTGTCAAATCGAGTTAATCGTCCACCTCTCGTGTCTTTGTCGACTTTGCTCGGGTGACACGCGCCGACAAAAATCTCTGCCAATCAATTTCTCTGTCGATAGCAGCTCGTCAAGTATAATCCAGACGTTACGCGCGATCAATTACATCGTCGGTAGTTGGTACAATTGCGCTTTCAGCCGGGAACGGTGTCTAGGACAGTTTGCATTGTTCTCGTCGAAGCATAGTGTAAACTGCCGCAAGCTTTCGAAACGATGAAGCACCCTTTCCCACCAGAGCGTTGTTTTTTAATTCTGCGCGGACAAACTTGTAGGCCAATGTCACGATACATTTTTTATTCCCACGTATTATTAGCAATTTTGTAGTGCAAATAACTTTCAAGCACAATCTCACAAAAGCTCTTTGCCTTTACCGATACGGTGTCTCGAGGTATCCATGTAAACGGTGCTGTATGAAAAAATAAGTAGAAGATGTGGATTAAAATTTTGCTCTATCGAGCTCGGCTAACTTTCGAGAAAATTGAGCTTGAAAATTCAGGCAGAACAGGACGGAAGGTGAAGTTTAATTAAGCAGGTTCATTGGGGTCAAAGCGAAATGAATAAAGTTTCGTTAAAGAAGATCGAGACAGGACACGTGGAGCAAACTTTCTTAAACATAAACACGAGATAGAAGTTGACTGCACCTGATCCCTCAGATCTGCGTAAATACCACCGTAACGGGCTGCGGTAATTGCGGAATTATACAACGGGAATCATGAAAGCCCTAGCTATAGAATTTTATGGTAGGGATATCTGCTCAGCCAGAATACAGCGGTTCGGTATTGTTTCCCAAAAGTTTACTGTTTAGTTTACCTTATAGCTTTCCCCAATGTCTACCATCATCTATCATCATTTCTCGCTATTTTCTACGATGAAACATATTATTGGAAATTAATTATCCCATTTCCTTTATGTCCTTCTAATTGCACCTGAATTTCTCGCGCCGAAGTATGCACTTAATTACAATCCTGCTCGTGTAGGAATAATTACTTTGGATCTCGTTTATCCTTGTTTTATTTAATTACATATTTATTTAGTTGCTGAATATTTGTTTCATCACAAAATTAATTTTACTAATGATTTTGTTTTGTCCACTTAGACAAACTCAAAAACATTTGAACTTGTCTTTAGATCATAATTTAGAACATAACCTCACTTTCAATACAACGTATTGACTGAAATGTTAATTACTTGATGTATAACCCTTTGCACTTGAAAGGTGCATTCATCATTCAGTTTAATACAATTTTAAATAAATATTGGTTACCTTAAAAGAATTCAGCAAATTTTTAACTCATTTCTAAAACTTAAACGTTTAATTTCGAGTGCAAAGACCTTACGTATTCGATGCACAAAGTGCTCTATCAAATCCCGTCGCAATATAGCATTCCTATCACGAAGCAGTATCGAGTGATTATCGGTCGTAAGGAGAAGACGAATCCCAGAAAGTCCCATTTGTTGACAGGAACGACTGTATCATAGCGACTTCCGTCCATAGCAAAGAACGTTCCATCCAAGTTGCTTGAAAGGATCGTTACGTCGATCCGTGAAACGAAACTATTTCTATGCCGGTTGGAGACAGTCTGTCTCAAAGAGCGCAGTTATGTCCTTCTGCCTGCATGACGGCACGATTGCCTTTTTATCGCACGAACGACGATTCTTCTTTTCGTTGGAATAATTTGCATTCTCGCCCTGACGCGTATCACGTGGATGATCGATCAAAGTACACGAACGAATCTCACCACCTTTTCGATAACACTGTATGTCAATATGTGAAATAACATTCCGACACCAATGGACAGTTTGAAAATTTCAGCAAAATTGCTGCATACGAGGAGTATCAAAGAGCGGGATGATAAATTTCACCGTATATAACATCATTACGAGAATATTATTGTCAGACAACAGCGTCCGCGTTCTCTTTGACTCGTCTCGAGTTGTCCAGTTTATTATCGCCTCGTTGCGGTGGCAGTTTTCCCTGCATCCACAGGGACACGGTTGGTCAGAGGATGCCCAAAGGGAAAGTACGGAAACCGCTTCCGAACTCGTTCGCTGTTGTAATAAAACAGTCTCTCTTATTTACATGCCATCTAATTTGCCTCCCGTGCATTTTCGTATCAGTCTTCTTTGAACGAACGCGTTCGATGTCTAATTACATTACTGATTCGTAAAGCACGTGCAATGCTTTTATCTCGACCAATTTAATGTAACTGAATTTTTGATGCCTCCAAACGATTATCGTCAATCAGGAGGCTCGATAGCTCGTAAATTTTCAGCGGAGTCGTAAGTTACGGGAAGGAGCAACAAGCTACAATTTCAATATCGAGTCTCAGGAATCCCCTGACGGATTGCGCGTCATACAGAATGAATGTTCCATCGGTGGTTCGATGTGAAACCTACTTTGTCAGGGAACAATCTTCCGGCAATCATCCGCGATGCTGGAATCGTTGCATAATTCCTGCAACCTACGACTCTCTTTCTTTTCACATTTACGATTGTTCGCTGAATCAGGGGTTTCGTGACCTAAGCTCGAAATTGAAATTAGATGCTAAATCTGTACTATAATGTTATTCAATTATACTTCTTCCTCTTTGCTTATGCGATACTTGTGCGAAGTAATGCATGTTTGTCTGAAACTGCGTAGCTAATAATATTTAAATAAAAAGGCAGAGAACGTTTAATCTGAATAAAGATAACGCGTCTTAAAATATTTATTTCATAAGTACACGCAAGCAGCATTCGCTGCAGCGTGATACTTCGTAACCGAATCGCGTCATCAAGAGTTCAATCATTTTGTTTGTGCATTGATCAAATCTATACATAATTATTAAGTTATTTGCGTATCTTGTGAAATTCTTATTATATGTATATGAAATTCTTATTACTTTATAATCGTCTATTCTTACAATGGTTAATTGCACATAAATGAATAAAGTGAAATGAAAGGTTAAGCTTAAAGGCTACAAAGTTGCTACACGGATGGTATGTGAATCTAATTGCAGACTACAATTACAGAGTAATAGATCCACCTATTCGAACATTATCGTGTTTGAAATGGGCAGATCTACTAATCAGATTACACTGAATAGCGTGGCCGAAGAGAACAAATGGATACATAGTGAGTGAATGGAATAAAGCGATAACGAGCGATCCGATGCATTTCAAAGCGAAAGCGTATCTCAGAATGTGAGCCACCAATTTCCAGATCTATTGTGCATAATTACCGAAGCCTTACCTTACTACGAAATGGCATAGATTATAATTGGAGTAGTTGTAAATCTATTTTTATTTCAAGAATTCCACATGCCTGTATAATGTTTATATTTCCTTCCATTAACATGTACAGCGTTCTTTCCTCGAAACTGCAGCTTTATACCGAATTTCATCGAAACCCACATCGATTTTTAATACTACTGCCAGCAAAGTGGAGCTCAAAAATATCCCGGAAAACTATTCAGAAACAGTTTGGTGAAAAGGCGTGCTCCGAACTCTAAATGTAAACGTTCAATTTCGCAAAGTGTTTCCAACATTCAGTCTCTCTCCACGGAGAAATCGTTTCTGCAAAAGATGAATGCCTCATTTTTGCCCCGGCGGAA